ACTTGCTCCCTGGTGTGTTAGGCCTGCGTAGACTCCTTGCCATTGGGAGCTCAAGAAGAGGAAGAGGGTTTGTTGAAGGTAATAGCCTCCCTCATCTTCCTCACTACTCTCCCTTTATATAGTTCCCCACATCTAAGGCCTGTTTTCATTCATTTCTGTCTTCTGTCCCTTTTATCCCTTCAGGGGAGAGGAGGGGGAAGAATCTAGACTGACACACAAGTTGGGTTTGATGGGATGAGTTTGTCCCGTTTTCTTGTGCTCACGTTAGGTGAGCCAAGTAATGTACTCTGGTTAGTGTTGCTTTAAAACCTGGAACATGGTATCAAGAATTGCAAATTTATACAAAAGATGATGCTCTTCAGATGCCTTACTGGCTTCTAAAATGCTCAACAGACTGCCAGACAGATGAGCTTGGCCATTTTAATAGTCTGGAGGGGACATTATTTAAAGGTAGGTAACAGCAAGAGAAGATGAGAACTAGTTAAGTGCATAGTAAAGGTAGCAACAGATAGAGTGGAGCAGCCAAGAGCAGTTCAAGGCACTATTCTTCAATAAGTGTGTGAAGTCTGAAATATATTGAGTGTCACTTGATGAAGTTCATAAAGAGTCTCCGAAGACTCTTGAAGAGATTCAGCTGTTTCTTTTGAAGTTGTTCGTATCGAATGCAGGTGGGGGTTGATGGCATGCAGAAGGAAAACAGGAGGTGCCAGAGTTACTCGGAGCAAGATCTGCAGGGAGGACCGCAAGGCAGGAGTAACCTGTAGGAGCGTAAGGAACAGGAAAAGATGAGGCTCCTCCGAGAACTTCTTTTATGATAAGGTTCTTCCAGGAAGAATGCTGGGACCTAAAAGGGGATACACTCTAAAATGGCATTTGATGGGTTTTTGATAGTATTATTTGGTGTGCTTGTAGGATGGTCCAAAAAAACTTAGAACTGGTATGCTTCCATTTGAAATAAATTTTTAAAAATTGCAGCCTGCTTCCACTTTGTTGCCACTAATCTGAATAGCAGCACGCTGGGACCTAAAAGGAGATACGCTCTAAAATGGCATTTGATGGGTTTGACAGTATTGTTTGGTGTGCTTGTAAGGTGGTCCAAGAAAACTGAGAACTGGTATGCTTCCATTTGAAATGAATTTTAAAAAATTGCAGCCTGCTTCCATTTTGTTGCCACTAATCTGAATAGCAGCAAAAGCTCCCCTTGACTCACTGACATGTCACTTGAATCGTGTTTGTTTGCTTTGAGTTTAAAACAGACCCACCAAGAAGCTTAGCCTAGCTGCAGTCACCCATCTTAGTGGTAAGTACAAAATACCTCTCTGAGATGAATCTGGTTTTAGGTAGCTTCACAGTAGCAACATCAGTTTGATCCCTGGTATTGTGGAATGGTGTTAGCACAGGAACATCTTGAAGACACTTTGCTCCAAATTGCTTTAAATAGCACAGGTGCCTCATTTGGAGAAGAGAAGGGTAAGAAAATGAAAGGTCCTTTGCTAACTGCTGAGGAGGAGGTGGAGGTCATGATTTCATTGCAGTCTAGGTGACACTAACACTAGATATAGTCTTATATTTTGTTGACGGAGGAAGTAGCATTCTCCATCGAGCACCGAGCTCAACGGAGAGACCTGGTGTGTGGTGAGGACCTCTTCTTGCTGGGGTTGTGCCGGGCACTTGTCTTTTGTGCTTTTTGTTGTCAAAGCAGGTCCTTGAGTGCCATGGAGCAATTGATGCCTTTAGAAATCATCCTCTGCTTACAGGATTCTTTTTTTTCCTGCAAGGCCTCATTTATGTGTTATACAGGAATTTGCTTCAATGGGAGCTAATGAAATGCCAAGAACTCGTTACAGATAAACATTGAGGAGCGCTAGAGACACACGAGTGTATATCGGGATGCAAATTGCTCCGTAATTGTATAGAGGTGTTGTAGATCTAGCAGTGCAATATACAGCGGTGTAGAACTGGAAATACCCTGCGGAATGGGTGGAATTCCTTCTGCCTGGGTGTTGGTGGCCTTGGGATGAGCCCCTGGACGCTGGTACCATCGAGTGGGGCAGCGCCTGCCTTGTGCCCATGCACCCCGTCCGTGCTGTCTCCTGTTGCTTCCCAGGCCCCATCCTCATCCCTCCCAGCCGTGTCCTGTGTCCCGTTGCTCCCAGATCGCAGATTATCCCATATCCTGTTTCTCCTCCCTCCCTCCTAGTGATGAAGGTCCTCCTGAGGACCTTCTGAGCTGATGAAGGTCTGGGGCCTTCTGCTCCAACTTGGCCCCAGGCTCCTGTTTCAGCACAAGGAGCAGTGGAAGAAGAACCCCCTGTGTCCAAACGCACCGAGCGATTTGTTCAGCTCGGAGGTGCAAAAAGCAAGTCTTGGTCCTGTAATTCCTGGGTATGAAACTGCTATAAGTCCTTACTATGGTATATTATTTGGGATTTTTTTTTTTTAAATAGCTAACATACAAATATTTTGAAGACAGGGCATTATTCAGCTGCTTTGATTAATGGTTAGTTTTACACTTGTGTCTACTTTTATGAACATGAATATATGTCCAAGTTAAAGTCAGAATTTTCAGCGAACACCAGCAAATGTTTCTGCTTGACTTTAGTTTATTGATGAAGCCACTAGCACTAATAAGGTAATGCTATGTCAATTAGTCACCTGCAGTATGGCTGTGAGTAACCCAAAAGCTGGCCACGCTTCTGTAATTGAATTCCTGCCTTGTTACAGGTCCCCCGTGGCCAGGATTCAAAGTTAGCCCAGCTGCAGGGCTCTTGTCCAGCAGCACCAAAAGCAAAGGTTGGGGTGAGCACCATGAGTGTGTTGGCTGATTTTCATGTATGTAATGCAGACTTTGAAGGTAGTATTTTACAGCACAAATTCTAGTATTTTACAGCACAAATTCTTAACTCTGCTGGGAAAGTGCAACTTCAGAACTTGTGTGGTAAATGGAAGAAATATAGTCATAAAATCATATTTGCCTAATAAAACTAAAAATAAATGTCATGCATTGGAGATTCGGAAAGGTAAATGTGTATTTAGGGGGGAACTATGTTGACATAGTGCTGTTAAAACTCATTTTAGTAAGCCTGTGTAAAGCATTATTACCAGCTAATGATATGAAATTAATATAACTTGCTTGTGGTGTTCCTTTATAGGAGTGTTATTATATGGGATGGGCATAAAGGAGCTCTTGCCTTTTATTTGCAATGTTTTATGGTATTAAAGATTAATGTACTCTGTAATAATCTATGGCTAGTTTATGCTTTAAAAACCACTTTGAATGCATTGTGATTGAGCTGTAGCAACAGTTCCTGTCTTTGCATAACACAATATTTAAAATACGGTAGTAAAGGGAGTCTTATTTGTGTGTATGTTTGTATAAATACAAATATTTTTAAGAAACAAGAAAGATAAAGCGATGCCATCGCTGCAGGAGCTGTCGCTGCCTGACAGATGCATGGCAGCCCCTGGCTGGAGAGGGGTTTTCATTGCAAGTGACAGGTGCCACAAGGTTTATTTAGGACAACCTCAGCCTTGTCCTGGTTAGCTTGATAACGTTTGCCTTATGGATGTTCAACCACTGCATTTCCTGCGTTAGAGCCTTGTGTTACACCAATATTACTATCTGTGCTGCCTCAACTACAAATTGGATGAACAGCCAGTGACACTTTTTCAATATTATTACATTAAACCAAGTGGATTTTGATTGATAACCTAATATTCAACTAATGCAAAACATCAATCATGGCAAGTATATTAATTATTTAATATTGCAGTCTAATTCAGAAATCGATGTGCTGCATGAGGGGAAGGGAAACTCGCTGTTCCCAGAAGACTTAAGACAGGGGATGATTAAAAAAAAAAACAGAAAAAAACCCTGCTGTACTCCTGTGTGTTAGTTCGATACCAATCTTTATTCATTTGCCAATAATCTCTTCGCATTTTCCACTTCAGGCCCGTTTTTATCAGTTTTGAGGCCTGTAATTGAATTAAGGCTGCTTTCAGCGAGGGCGGCCGCGCCGGAGTCGCGGCGGGGCCAGCGCGTTGGCCGCGTCCTGCCGCCCAGCGCGGGCTGCTCCTGGAGGCCGTTCCCATCTCTGTAGTGTATGGGCCTGAATTGAGAAAATAAATCAGCAAAAAGGTGCAAGGAAAGTGCATCTTATACTGTCGGAAATTATAAAAAATGTGCGTGAAAAACCTAAAATTTCTATTTAGGTTATTCTTGAAAGCAGTTTGAAACTAGCCTTGCATGTGCTTTGCTTATCTTTGAGACTGCAGTAGTACTGGTTAGGGGCAACCTGGTGATAAAATATTACCTTATGTGGAGTGAGGCCCTAAAACGAGCATTTGAAAAAAGCTTTTTTTCAGTATTTAGTAAAATCTCATATTTTCTACCTGTCTTTGTGTGCAACTTCACATTGCAGTGTCCATTGCCCAGACTAGGGCCTAGGAAGCCGGACTCAGTCTCACACCACTTGCTCCCCTGGTGCAAAACCATTGGATTTAGCCAAAGGGGTTCCTTAGAGCTCAACAATTTGCTGGAATATGTTTTCCCCTCCGTGTTTTTTTCCTGCTCCCCGAAGCGCCAGGCAGGTTGCGGTGCGTGCGCCGCCGTGCCAGCCGCCTCCGCGAGCGCCGCAGAGCCGCGGGCTGCACAGCAAACCCAGCGTGGATTCAATAAGGCAGCGCGGAATTACATTTGTTTTATTAATTTCAATATGAAACACTGGCATAACTATATGAAATATTTTAAAAAATGGATGTCGTCTTGCATGGGTAAGTTTATAGCAATTGTAAGGCAGGTAGAACCTGAGGCTTTAAATAATTCTGCAGTTACTCATTGAGATGATGGATGCTCTTTAAATATTTGCAACGGTTAAGGAATAAAAAATAAAAATTTTGCATACTCAAGAAATTACATGGTTTTGACATTTCTGAGAAAACATAAATCATTGCAGACAAGGGTTTAGCAACTATTTAGAACTTTTGTTCTTCTGTTACAGGGACTCTGGAAACATCAAAGCTGGATTAGAACATCTGGTAAGTTTTAATTTTCTCTTGAACATTTGCATCATCTTTGATATCTGCATTCCAAATGAACACTTTTGAATGAGCTTTGAATACCTTGAATTGAGAAAGTCAACCATTTCCCAGAGGGTCAGCTTACTGTTATTATGTGAAGGCACTCACATTTTCATTTATCTTACCATTTCAAGGGAATTTTAATTTTTTTAAATTACTTTTTTTGATGTAGAGATAAAATAAAATGGGCTACAATCCTTGGATTGATGATTGCCTTAATTATAAACAAAAATTGTTTGGTGGCGGATTTTTTGGCATATCCTGATCTGAAAATAACAAACTTGTGATTAAAAAAAAAAAAAAGAAAAAGAAAAAAAAGAAAAATCCACACATAATGCAATATCGCATGCATAAATATGGTATGTTTTAGTAATTTGAAGTCTTTGAAAGAAGTGCACAGCTTTGTTTTTTTTCTGTTGTCTTTTGCTTTATGAATAATGTATTGACTTAAATTCCATTCAGTGCAGCAATATAAAATAGTAATTGAGATGCAAAATATTTTTGGTTTAAGTAAACATATTCAAACCGCAAGTGATAGTAAGACATACTTAGCATTAAAAACTAATCAGTTGATCAAAACTGGAAAATACACAATATTGTCACAAGTCTGAAATTCATTGAGCTCGGAATGCTAATATCAGCAATCATCAGAACATTAAGTAGTTCATCTGAACAGATTATTAAATCCCATTAAATCAAAATATTCGCTGCTAATGATACATATACTTCTCTCAATATATCATGGGAAATGTTTAAATTCATGTCTAATTTCTCATATGACATCTAAATATAAACTGCTCTGTAGCACTATTAAAATAAAATTTTATCACAATCTATTGCCTGCACATTTTTAACAATTGCTTTCCATTGTTGCTTTCCATTTTGGGAATCATTTAGAAAATACTGTTGGTAGAGGCTTGTGTACCAATATCTTGGATGAGCAGCAGGAAGCAAGGAGGTGGATTCTGGCATAGTTTCCCTTTCATAATGGTGGCAAATTAGATGCTCTTTTGCAACTAGTATTTTGCACTTGTAAATGGAACAAACACCATGAGTGTCATGAATAGTGCTTAGAATAGTTAGAAAATTAATCCTGTTTGCTGCTTTCAGAGGCGTCTCGCATCTTCTAGTTGAATCTCTTAAGTAAATTTTTGAAGTGTTTCATTCCCGCGCCGGTGTCAGGCCGTTGTGGGCTGATGGGTTCGGGAACGTTTCTAATGCATTATAAAGATGCTGTGCTCCTGACAGATGACCGTGACTGGCACTTTTGCTAAATTGGGAGCGCTGCGGAGGCTGGAGCTGCAGCCCTGATTTATAACGTCCCCCCGGAGCGGCGCGGCCGCCCGGAGGAGCCTCCGGCTCCGGCCTGTGCCGGGGCTGGTGCCCCACGACCGCTCGGTCTCGCTGGGCTTTGGGGATGCTCCGTAACGGAGCGGGGCCTGCAGCTCTTCGTCACGGGTGAAGAAAGCTTTGTCTTCCTTAAATACGTGAGTTGTCTCACATTTCTGTGAAATATCCATCAGAATCCTCCAGGCTCTGGAGCCTTTTTGTCTATTCCTCATGATCCTAGAACATCTCTCCTGGGAACTCAAGCAACTCTGCTCTTCCCTAGACATACATGGGAATTTTGATGCCAGAAATTGTTATATCCCAGTGTTAGGCAAGTTGATTTTCAACTCCCAATAAGTTGTAGGGATAACCACCTGATTGCACTAATTCTGCTACTTAAACTGCTGCTGTTCCCAAATACCCATAAGGAGCTTTTGGCCCTATTTTTTCCAAAGCTGGCAATGAAAGAAGAAGAGTCCTTATCGATTGGATTGGCTGCATCCCATCTCAGTCACTGTGATGGTCTTTACCTGGCCTAGACTTGTGCGATGCTTTTCTCTGCATGCCTGTGCTGTTCACAGGGTTGCAGCCTCTTTCGGTTCTTGTTCAAGGACGTGCATAAGTAGCATCTGGTATCTAGCATCTAGTTACACATATGATGAAATTAAATAAATTGGTGTGACTAGTACTTTTGAAAAAGTGAAGCATTTTACAAATTATAATTTGGAATTACTTTCAGGCTAAAAACAGATGTTTTAATGAGCAAAAGTGTTTGGAGAGCTTCATGCAGCGTGGTTTCTGCAGAGCTGGCCCTGCTTCCTGACCGTGGGTGAAGAGCAGAGCTGTCCGGCTGAGCAGCAGGTCTAAATTGCACTCCCGTGGGACCACAAATAGCTAAATCTACTCAGAAGCACTTTTTTTTTCAGATAGTTAAAAAGGGAGAATGAAACAGATTTTAATGGAGAAAATGAGTTGGGTATCCCAAAAGTTTGGGTTATTATTTGTAAAATTATATTTAGCTAATTCCCTTTCTGCGTACAGACATTGAGCAACTGTAGCAACCTTGGGATGGAAGAGCACATATTTGCCACTGCAAGCAGCCCTGTCTTCTATTAATAGCCATCCTAAAAAAGCCCCGCGGAGCCGCGCGTGCGGCTTGCTCGGGAGAGGTATCTCGTTTGCGCCTTTGGGTAGCATTTCAAAGCAATAACCTGCTTGTCCTTGTGGTCAAGCAGCAGAGTCTGTCCGCTCTAGATGATGGAGAGCAGCCTGTCATTAATAGCTTGTTTAGCCCCGCGGTGGTTTGCGAGCAGAGCCGTGGCCTGGCGGCGGTGCCCGCGCCGCCTGCCGATCGATACCCAGCACCAGGGCTGCCCGGAGCTCCCGACCTGCCCGGGAACACGTCTACCCAGCCACGAGCATTGGGTGCCTCCAGCTGGGCTGCTCTTGGCTTACACAAACATTTGCTACCAAAGGTCTCTCCAGGAAACGCTGTGTTTATCCAAAAAGCGCTCGCACCGCTTCATCAGGTAGCCCCACCTTTCCTGTCTTGGCACGTGATTTTGGTGGGCGAGTTGGTGCCCGCTTTGGGCAGCTCGGTGTCAGCAGGCTGGTGATTAAAGACCAGCATCCTAGCACGACTATGGGGCAGCAGGGCTTAATAGCATCATTGGCTTCCTAATGAGCTGTAAAACCAGGCAGCCAACTATTTGTATTCACAAACAATTAATTAACACTCTTAATATGAGCAATTATGTTTATCTTGGTATCCTGGCAAAATTCCACACTGGGCAATTACATCCTGCAAGCTTGAACTCGCTCTCGTTCGGTACCTGTTGGCTGCGTGTTTTTTTTCCCCATTGTAGTTGTCCTGGTGGTCATGGGTGCAGGATGGAGCTGAGAAATGGGGCTCTTTGCCCCTCAGGAAAGAGCTGAGCGTATTTGATGGGGTGTTAGTGGAGTGAGCAGCGGCATAGGAAGTCTTTTAAAGATGGGAAATTAAGGCAAAATAAAAATGTGCAAGCAGAATTTCTATCAGGAGGTAGAGAGATCAGTGTGGGGAAGAACAGTGCCGCAAGATGCTGGTGGTATCACAATCCTTGGAGATCTTAGGCTGTAGTGTATGATGCCATAAAGAACTTTGTATTTATTTCTGTGTAAATTCCTGTTTTTCACATCCATCTCACTTATCCTGCATAGACTTAATGCATCTTACCTACGTTTATGCGTAAATTTTTGAAGTCATTAGTTTGCTATTTGATAAGGTACATGTTAAAACCTTCAGCTGGTTTTATTGATTGAATCCTCCGAAGACTTCCTTTGACGAAGGATAGCAGATATGCAGGAGTTTTCTTCTGGAGCGTTTTGTGAAGACGCAGCCATTGCTGACATCTCCCTGACAGGTCATAGAAATAACAAACTTTTAATTGGGCAGAAGTCTAAAGGCATTCGGAAACAACCACGTTGCAGTCATCTTACAAAACACTGCTGAATGCTGCACAAAAGAAGCGTTGTTCTTTACTAATTAAGCTTGTACCGGGTCGGCGTGAGGTGATCACGTAGCCGAAGACCAATGACTTGGGAATACCCCTGGCAAAATGGGTGGGCTGATTTGCCTGCCGGGATGAAATGGAGCCTCTCTAGGCCTAGGTGAGAGGCTGCTGAGGAGCTGTGGAACCCGGAGACAGGAGCGCGGCTGCAGCTCCCGCTTGTCCCGATGCTCCCGCGGCTCTTAACAGCCCCCGTGGACCTTGGCTGGTGTTAAGGAAGGAGCCCTCAAAGGCCCTAAGGACTTTGTTGGTCGTGGACAGACACGTTTCCTATAAACTTTTCCAGAGAACAAAGTTTTAGCCTGTCACTTGCCATTAGCTGCTGTCGATTAAACCAGAGGAGCTCGGCATAAAGCAGCGCGAGCGTCTTTAATGTGTCTGTGTCTTTATTAGACAGCAAACTTTGATCATTTTTCATTTAGCAGCAGAGCCGAGTGCCGATCCCGTGTGCCGAGGGCAGCCGCGCGGCGCCGGGGCCGCCTCCTTCCTCGGACCCCCATGCGCTTCCTCCTCGCCATTCCCTTCCTATTTACCCCGTAAATTTGTTTGACTACTCTTTTACGTTGTAATTTTTAAAAGGCAGATCTGTACGTAAGTGTTTCGGTGTTGCAGACAGATTACGTGAATGATCAGATGAAGTAAATAACCTTGTAACATATAAAGAGTGTTATTTTCTTTGGCATCTGCATAAAAAAAAATGTGCTTGTGGATGTTGTTTCCAATTGCAGCAGCGGTTTGTACGCAATTTCAGTAATTTGATCGTAGCTGATGAAAAGCTGACAAGATTTCCACAGCGCCCCATTAGATGAAAGCAGCATGAAACCACAGGTTAATCTGCAAACAGATTTTCATGCTTATTACTCTAATGATTCCATCATATTTGATGTAGCAGGCTGCAAGGCGTCTCTCGGCAGCAACAGTGTGCTCCATTTTGATCTCTCTACTCATTAAATGATGTAGTAATTTGACTGACCTCTGACCAGGTGCATATCTATTCATAATTGCATGTCATTCTGATGGGGAAATTACTTGAGAGAAACCGAAGTATTCATCCTGCTTTCCAAGTCAAAAAACTAACAA